CGGAAGGAAACGAAAAGGAAAGAATGAAACAAGAGTTGCGCAATAACAGAATTGCGCAAGAATGGTACAAGAGCAGAATGGAGAGAGAATGAACCTTATGAGCTGCCGGGGAAGGCAGATCATAACAAGCTGTTGTTGTAGATCAGTATTCTGATTCGTATTTAATTTATTCATTTGAATTTTATTATTTTTTGAATCCTTTGATCGACATATAGATGAAATAAACAATTATGTGTCATGTGGTAATAAGTCAGGACGTTTTTGTAATTCAGTAACTAGTTTAAAAACGATAATCAGCTAATCCTGGACATTGATTATTTGTAGATATATGCTCTCCTTGACAATGATGACATTTAACAACACATACAGTATGATCTTCTCCATCCCGTCTATTTTTACCACAACGACGACATATTTCCATTGGACTTTTACAAATTTTTTTAATATGCCCTGGCCCATTGCATCTCGAGCATAAAAGTAATTTCAGTGCTTGTAGAAATTCGTTAACATTAAAATATTGACCATGTATTATAACAACACTACCATTCATTATCTTATCATAATCTTCCTTTGATTTCATATCTACACGTACATGTCTATTTTTATTAGACTTGCTTCCATTCAATTCTTCAATCATATAAATCGATGAGTAACTTGTAGTTAACTCTCTTTAATATCTTGTACAGATGTATTGTTATTAACAAATTTAATTAATATTTAATATTGAGGTGGCAACGTTTTTGGTAAAAGTGGTTTAATCTCACAATTGTTTATTTTATTAGGATAGTGTGATATCACAAAAATAAACAAACAGTTCCACGTATTTGACAAAACATATCAAATCACCTTGCTTATCAATATACCAGTAATCAAATCCCAAAGGTTTCTCGTAATCTTTATTATTTTTATGAAATCATTCTCAATTAACTTAAACAGTTCTTTAACTAAAACTGTACCATCTTGTTGTTGTTGCAGTTTTGGATCACATTCTATTTTAAAAGATGGTAAATGACTGTCAACTGCATAACTTAGTGTATGACTTGAAATATGTATTTGATCATTCGTTGTTGTTTCATTTGTGTGATTCATCGATTGACTCATCACATTACTATTTGTCTTTATTGTTTGGTGCTGTGAAGATGAATGATTATTCTTACTATAAGAACGATTATTACGTTGCTGATCCTGTTGATTATTACCATATTTATTTGAAGAATTGTTAATTGTACGTGTTGGGTAATAACTATTTTCATTTGAACTCTCATAATTGCCATTTACATACTCATTATCCCACTCATTATCAAACTTGTCATCGTTGGTACGAAATATATATATTTTAAACGATTGAATTGACAGGTGACAGCAGCATATTTAAAATCAAAAGTAAATGATCGTATAGGCCAAGTGACTGACACCAGGATAATCGCTAACGCGATTCAAAGTTACGGTAAGCCGATGAGTTTCTGCTTTCCTCTTATTCCCGCTCTCGCTCATTAATTCTGACTTAGAAAATTTAATATGCTAGAAAGCCAAAAATGCGAAAGCTTGGCTTTCCGTATTTATGATGAGCGCAATGTCAGCTGAAAGCAATATATATACTGGTATCAATTTGGCGTGGCAAAGGGATCTAGTTCGACATCCAACGGCATTTTGTCCTCGGTTCCTTTCTCAATAGACTAAATTTGGTTCTTGTAGGAGCACATTAAGTTCTAACAAGAAACGGCTTTGATCCTGGACACCAAGATTCTACGATTAATTCATAACAATCATGAAATATTCATCTTTAAAAAGATTGTCAGAAGAAACCGCTCAAAACGTTTACTCCAAATAATGTGCGAATGTGTGAAAATGTGCCGCAGATATTATATAACAAATTAAAAGTTATTAAAATGTTTTCTACAGTATTAATGCATCACGATAGACAAAGTATTGATGTACCGCATTATTGTCACATCTTATCATTTTATAAAACGTGTAATGAGTTTTATTTTGTTATATAACGTGTGAAGCACATTTTCCCATATTCATATATTATTTGGAGTAAGTATTTTTAACAGTGCAGTCACTGGCAGATTTCATGTTGATTCATTTTGTGATGATCTTGTTTCTCTAGTTACACTTGATTTCACTAATGAAGCACCGTGGTCGACAGATATATCAACATTGACATTTTCCAAAGAATATTTTGAAAAACAATTTTTAACCGATACTGAACAGTATTACAAATTAGAAGCAGCTAACAATTTGACTAGTAACTCTGTGATGGAATGTTTGATGATACTTAACGGACAGCTAAATAAAAAAGAGCAACGTGTTACATATTTACACTCGTCAACAATGAAACCGTTACTGGATATATGCACAAGTGCGTTCAGTTTCGATCAGTTAGAACTAGTGGCGGAGCCAGCTATGAGCGAGAGGGGGCTGAGCCCCCTCTAAAACTTTCTGAGCCCCACCCCCCAAAAAAATATATAGATTTCGAGCATTAAATTTAAATGAGTTTACCTCTGACGGAGTTTAGAAAATTTCTGGGCTGAGCCCCCTCTAGATCAAACTCCTGGCTCTGCCACTAGTTAGAACCCAGCTTTGATGAATGGAAAACATTATGGAACGGTGATGATAATGAAGGTAGATGAAATAATATTATATTCAAACGTCTATGACCTTTCGTTATCCTTCTGTTTCTAGGTTCAAACTACTAATAACTTACGCTATAAATAATGTTTCGGAGACAGAAATTTTTTCGTAAAAGTTGATGAAAAGGAAACTTTTGAGTAGAAATTTCGCTTTTATGAAAATAAGAACAAAGAGAAAACGTTACTATTAGTTTACGAGCATTCAACATGCACTAACCTGGATGACAGAAAACACGTCTTTTTTTCATACTTCTGGATGTTCAAGAAGGTAGCCGGAAAGCGCAATTTTTTTGCGCCAAACGTAACCAAGAAATTCTAAAACTGACTTTTTTACAGCCGACATTTCGCATATCTTCAGAAGTTTTCCCCTAGTCTGCTTCCAATTTGCCACAGCACATAGTTAGCATCTAATCTTATATTCCTGTTAGCGACAATGATAGGTAAAAGAGAGTCAATGTTTCCTGCTCAGTAAAACCAATTGTTGGTTTGCTGTCATCGTTTGAAAAAGTTCAGTGCTTTTCTGTTATTTTCCCACTTCATATAACATCCAGTAAGTCACGTTAACTGCAATTTCATTTCTTTAAAACTCCAAATTTTATATTCACATTATTTTTAAATGTGGCGGGGTGTGGAGGAAAATTGTATAAAAGCATTCAACATGTATGCCGATCGATAGAGGATAGAGAGCTAGTAAAGGGAATTCTTCCCATGGTGGTTTGTTCAAAAGCTATATATTTTTTTGTGTTTTTATGAAACGCGGAAAAATTAAAGTTTTGTAACACGCTTAGGCATGCACGAAGTCACCCATGCTCAACGTCAAGCAATCTTCCGTCAAGCGGTGCTTGATTTCAAGTACTGTTTCAAGTCGAGCACTGCTTCACTATTGCTACAAGTTTCGTTTTTTTCTTTGCAGAAAAGGCAAATAAGAGTTTGATTATTTCTTGGAAAGTAAGAGGTGTTTTTATCTTGAAGGAAACCAGAACAGAACGTGACGTCTCGTCTTTGCGACACGTGCCTCTAACACTCACTCATTTACACCTACATCTAACTTCTCTAGACTGTGTTACTTTTTGAAAAAGAACAGCACACAAATCAACATGCTCTCTCTTTGAACTAAAATCAAAATCTGATCAATGGAATGATACAGTTCTTTCTCTTGTTCAAGAAGGACTGACAAATAAACAAAATGCCCGAAGATTTCTGAATGACAGTAGAAGCCGTTCTCCAGGCTCACAGAGAGAGTGAGTCATTGCTAGTCATACTATCGATGCAGCGAAATGAGGTGTAAAGTGTTTCTGTTGCTAAATTTTATAATATAAAAATAAATTTTCTACAATTCGACAAGCATGATTGAAGCCCATCAGTGCTTGTCTTACAGCACTAATTGAAGTCAAGCGTCTTGACTTGTTACATGTCTAAATACGCTCGAAACAAACAGTTAAGGACCAAAATTTATTTCCTAAATGTTCTATATGTTTCTGATATCCACAAAAATTTTCAGTTTTTCAGATCGTTCCGTTTCTGAGTTCATGAATTTTAAAATTTTCCAATGGTTTACCCTTGGATACACTCATAATCAAAGAGCTTTAAAATCGTTGATTCTTTACTCAACCTACTGAAAATTTCAGAAAATTGAGATAGTACTTTTTGAGCGTATTATAAAAATTTTACTTTTTCCGCATTTCTTAAGCAACATATAAATCACTGAAATGGAGTGTATCACCTGGGAAAGGAACACTCGTTAGCGTAAGCCCTTTTTTCTCAAAACACCTTATTGAAAACGTCTCGCTCTCCAGGTGGAGCTCTGAAAATAAGACTCGACAAAAATCAGCCAAGAAAGATTTACATTTCTCGTTCAACAACGAGACAGTACTATGGGATAATGAGCACCGGAACTTTTGCAATATTTTCAGCAGATCCATGTCATTCTTAACTGTACAAAGGCGGTATTAACCTAGAAGATATATTCGACTCTTGCCTATTTACTGCGCAAAAACATTTTGGAATTCATCAGTGGCAACTAGTACTCACTAATCTCGAATCCACTGAAGAGTTTAAAAGTATTTGATTTATAAATATTTATAACTCTAATCATTTATTTCTATGCTGATCGAGGCTGGATACGGTGAGTGTTTACAAAAAAACGAAAAAATAAATGTTTATATTATAGAGATTAAAAAAGGAGGAATGATAGATGACTTGTGTTAACTGGAGGTGGCGTTTAAAATACAAGCTTCAGGATATGTGAGAAATAATTTTAAATTTAGTCTTATGGTATGAAAGTCCCGACGAAAAGATCAAATGACTGTAGGTGGGAAATAATAAAATTCTTGAAAGTGAAAAACGTGTCTGTATCTTGAGACTAGAAGTCGCTTGTGATGGTGTGTGAGTCTTGGTTTCTTATCCAGTGACACGAACGTCAAGTGTCGTCTAAACCGACAGTATCAGTCTGCTCGTACAAGATCGATAAAAATTTTGCCCAATATCCAAAAACATGATCCAAAACGGTACGTTGTCCGGAGACAGAAAAAAAGAAATTTGGCGAGATAATAACAGCCACAAAAGTTTTTTAAAATATGCCTGGCATATAAGCTGCAAACTCGCTCTTGCTGTCGCGGCGTAAGATAAAAGAAAACATTTTTTATCCTAACGAAGTGAGGATAAACATAAGCAAAAAAAGCTTGTGGACGTAATTGAATAGAAAGACGTTGAAACTATCCGAAATGAGGACGAAATTTTCGAACATGCACAATCCAAAACCTTTCCAAAACCTAACTACGATATCATAAAATAACCAAGATTTATAAACTTAATTTGTAACAAAACTATATCGTTTCCGAATAAAAATACATATATATGCACAAAACCTAAACAAGAACGAAAGAAAGGCTATGTTTTTTAATAAACAGAGCGGGAAGAATATCATCAACATTATAATCGTCATTAATGCGTAATCACCCTCTAGTTGTTGAAAGAATGTAGCCTTTCTGCTTGTATACAGCCTTTGTGTACGTATCTGTATTTGTATGCAGAAAGAATATAGTTTTGTTACAAATTGGGTTATCAAAGATTGACTGAATAAAATGCTGCTCTCTCTCTGCGCTCACCTCGATTTATAAATCAGCTCAACTTTTAACTTCTTAAAATTACTTTTGAACTGTTCAGTGCTGGAATCCATGACTGCCAATTGACTACAATTAATCCAAATGAGAAAACTATCCTTAGTCAATGGGTCCAGCTGACACCTAAAGTACTCGAAAAAAGTAAAACAACTTGTTTTAATCATAGTTAACTTTGTGCTATTTGAATATGATACAAAAGAAAATTGAGTAATTTCATGTTACGTGGTGACATGCCATGAAATGAAATTGTAAAAATACTACAACAGTTATGGCCTTTTTTCTGATCATACTGAGCGTAATGTTCAGTCCAACGCGTAAATTTGCCTAAAAAATGTTCTTCAAACATCATCGGATGAAATGTTTCCAATTGACTGTTATCTCTTGCATGACTGACAAACACGTTTATACGAGCAAGACAGTAGGTTAAATTAACATCTGCTGCATTATCACGACACAATTTATGTTTTTCCGGTTTAGTCAATATTTCTTCGCCCAATTTTATTAACGTTGCTTGACTTAAAACGTATCCAGCTCCGTCCGACGGATATAGACGATCATGCGTCTTAACAACATAACCAAAATAACCAGTGGCATTCGATAGTTTTCGACGTAGAAAATGTCGTAAATTTTCAATAATCACATACGTATCGTCATCTGCTTTTAGAAACCAATCATACTCGTTGACATAACTTTTATAAAGATACAATAGAGAAAGTAAAACTTTATCCGATAATTTATCGTATCTTTCTAAATGTTCATCCCTAATATAAGCAACTAAGAATGGGTAGATACTATGATTCAGAGGTTTTGGTGTACGCTGACCACCGATGATAAATATGGACCGATCACAACGTTTGGCCCATGTTCTAATGGTAGAGTAACAAGAAGCTAAAATGAGTAGTCAATTATCTAGGTTACGGTACTTACTCATGAATAACCAGCGCTCTGTCCAATCTCTCATATGTTGTTGGTATCCAGCAGAGTATACGTGGATTAAATTGCAAAATATTGAATAGATCGTTCGTTATTAATCGTTGATCACTAGCAGAAGTATGATTGATGTTATTTTTGATGCAGTTTTGTACAATAACACTATTGTTAAGTGTTAGACAATTCCTATTGTCAACGGTGTGGTATGAGGATGAGATATTTGTTGAAATATATGTTAGGAACAGAACAGTTTGAAATATTAATAATAACACTAGACAATTGATGATATATAAATAATTATGAGTTATAAATCGTGAGTTTAAATGGAAAGACATATAGCATGATTCAAATCTTGGTTAAACAGAAGAAAATCAACAAACATTCGACGAAAAGAGCAAACAACAGCTTACATAGCATTCAAATATCTAAAAGATAGACGTTAGACATTACCACATGATACTATAAAGTAGAAGATACAGAATATCAAAATTTCCAGATTCGAAGATAGTCACAATTGTACGTTTAACGCGTGTGTCAAAACTGTGGTCGAAAAATGGGTAAAGTTCATATTTTATAAAATGCATCTCAGTTAAATAAATATTTTGGCAGAAATATTGGTTTCTCAACTGAGGTAAAGGGATGGACACGGCCTATAATAGAAGACCTCTCCTGTTACAAGACCCCTCTTAAACTCATAACGGAAAAACATTTTTATCGACTTTTTGACCTAAAATATGATGATTTTTGGGTTCAGTTAAACACTAATTTTTGCGTTAGTTTTTTTGCTTTTTTTGTAGGTGTGATATAAGATACACTCATAGACTAAGTTAAAAGAATAAAAATAAACAGCGGTCATCAGCTGAATAAACAACTTTGCACATAGTGCGAACTCTCAATCAAGCTATTTCAGCTCAAAATCGGTGTTTTTTAGGGACACTTTAGAAGACCCCCGTCAAAGTTATGAGCGCTAGAACACGATATAAGATCCGGATCCTCTATTGTGTTCATCCATTTACCTGATTAAAATATGGATTGTATCTCAGTTGAGTCCAAACTATCTCATACTATATGTATATTAGAAGAATGGAAAATGAAAAGACTGGTATAAAATATTTTAAAACACACAAGACTGATCTTATTCTGTCGTCTTTCCATTATATTCGTCTTATTTTAAGATGCTAATCTGTTTTACTTCTCTAATTAATGGACAAGTCAATCAGTTGTTTTGTTTTACATTTAGTACTTCTGTATAAAAAATAACAGAAGAAGATATATAAATTGAAAAAAAATTCGGCTTATATTACAAATTATTATAAAAAGATATTCTGATGAGCTTTTATTTTAATGAAAGTGAAACCGGTCGCTAACTACTATCCATTTCAAAACAGAAAAAGGATGGTCATTTTCTCAATAACTTTTTCTAGGAAGCAGCTAAAAAGTTGCGGTTTTCGCTGCCCAAAAGAAAAATGTTGGGGCTACAAGAAAAACTAAAAAGTTTTGTCCCAAAATTCCCTGCAGGTGGTGTACCTTGCGAAGATATTTTGCGAAAGATGTCACACCCCTGAAAAAGTTTCGGATTCTAACTTTTGAGACGACAGGCAGGTAGCCCGGACTGAGATATTCGTTTCTAGAGCAGTCCCAGGTCGTTAGCTTACAAGGTTCCGGAGCTAGAAAGGTTCTCCGGAGACCATGCTAACTCGTTTCGGACACGTCGGAAGATCTCGGAAAGACTTGAAACATAGGTTACCGGATGTGCTGATCAACCTGGCGATGTTTGCTTTTGACTAGAAGTTGATTCAAGGTCACCAGCGTATTTTTAATGAAAAAACGGATTTTTGCATGAAGCCTGTCAAAACT